CACACACACACACACACACACACAGACAGACACACGCATAGTGATACCACAGTCTTTAACTTACATAGATACTAAGGATCACTGTGGTGGACAGTAGGGTAACACTCTGAGGTCAGACACACACACATTCACCTGCTGTCTCTCTCTCACTCTCTCACACACACACACACACACACACACACACACCACACACACAGCGAACCAGACCAGAAACAAATTCACAAACGCAGTTTTATTTTAGTTTGACATTGAAATGCTATTATATTTAGATTTGTATACATTGAAATACTATTATAGTTTTGTTAATGTTTTGAGTTAGATTTTATTTAGTTTTTAGTTTAATTTCAGTTACTTTATAGTTTTGTTGTGATTTTGTCATGTTTATTCATTTTTTTTCTTTAAATATCTAAATAGTTTAAATTTATTTATTTTAGTGTATTTATTTTAGTTTTAGTAATATTTTGAATTAGATTGTATTTTTATATTTTTTATTTTCTGTTTTCACTTTTGTTAAAGTTTTATTAAAGCTAATTTTGTTGTTTTGTCATTTTTATTTGTTTATTTTTTTAAATGTGTGACATTTGTATATATTTATTTTAGTTTAAGGGATTTGTTATTTTAGTACTTTGAGTTAAGCAAAACATAAATGACGTAAAATATATTTTTTTATATATATATTTTATTTTAATATTTAAGTTAACGTTTATTTTATTTCAAGTAACAAAATTTTTTTTTCTTTTCGTTTTAATTAACTATAATAATCATGCTGAAATGCAGACACAAAAGCTTGGCCAATGCATTGCAAGCATGCAGTCCTGATATATATTACGCTCAGTTAATGCTTTATTATATTGGCCGTTCTGATGCATGTTGCAATACAGTGATGCACGAAAGCACGAATTAAATAGTTTCATCATTATTTAGTGATCTCGGTTTAATCGTGCTCTCTGGTGTTTGCGTTTGAGCAGCTCAAAGACAAGGAACGACAGATCATCAAGGACAAATTCAAGGTGAGAGACATTCATGCATCTTCTGTAACACTTTAACTTTCTGGACTGAAGCCGCTTGGCTTTACTTGATCATCCAGACATAATTTTTTATAAGAATCACGTTCAAGTGTGAGTCTCAAATATGATCATCAGGCTTTTGAGGAGCGTTTATTTGTTCTGTTTTTTCCTCCATATTCTCATTCTATCTGACTATATGAGCCATAAAGCCTGATGGATGAAATATGATACTCGACAGAAAACACATGCAAGCCAGGCTTTGTGTTGTGTGTGTGTTTGCAGGGTTTTAATGATGGTCTGGAGGAGCTGTGTAAGATCCAGCAGGGCTGGGCGGTTCCTGATAAAGGGCAGCGTGATGCCATCCGACAGGCTCAGAAGAGAGTGGTTTCAGAGGCGTACAGAGCCTTCCTTCAGCGGTGCGACATTCACACACACTCACACACACATCATCGGGTCCTTTTCCAGTGTAATGAGCACATGTTTATATGCTTTTACAGATGCGCAAACATTTCATTCACCAAAAATCCAGAGAAATATCACCGCTACTCACCGGAGCAGGTGGAGGTGATGATTGACAAGCTCTTCGACACTTCTGCCTAGGCCACGCCCACTCCGTCTGGTTTCCTTGGCGACAAACGTGCTACTTTGTCCTGTAAGACGGTCTGCTTCATCAATCACACACTACACAACGTGGAACGTCTTTGTTCGTTTTTGCTTGCTTTTTGTATAAATGTATTTATGTAGGCCTATATGTTTTTTGGGGATTTAACTGCAGTAAATAAAGAGAATTCACTCCTGAAACCTCAGCTTCAGGTTTCTTCAGTTCAGTTTCCTGTATTATTTTCAGGTTCTGTGTTTATAAGACACAGAAACACACATACACTATACACACACATGTATAAATTTCACAATGATGAATAATAACGATAAAATTATTATTTTTCATTATTATATTGTTTTTATGTGTAATAATTATAAATATATTATTTTCTTATTTTTATTTTATATTCATTTTAAATTATATATATTTATTTTGATCATTTTTATAATGATATGATATCTATTTGAATTAGTTACTTTTATATTTATTTATTTTTTGTTTTATATTATATATTTTTTTATGTGTATATAGATATGCATCACAATATATATGTATTTAATTTTTTTTTTTTATATAAAACATTTTATATTATTTTTTTATAATTTATATGTGTGCGTATTTTTTTTAAATATTGTATTTTATTATTATTATTATGTAGTGATAGATAGATAGGTAAACCTTTTTGTGTAGAACTAAATTTGTTTTGGTGATTTTTGAATTGTATGAAGTTAGTCAAATTCATAAAGTTGTCGAGGATCACATTAACTATCAATATGTTCCAATAACGAAAAACAAAACCAATGTTTTGTCTTGTACAACCCTTCAAATAGATTCAAGTAGTTGCACCAACATCCTGTTTGTTGTGTTTCTATCACAGATGATTAACGCTGCTCTGCATCCGCTCGGTCAGTCAGGTGTGGAGCTCCATTTTTAACTCTCACGTTTTTAATCAGTGACCTAAAATCAGCTCGAGTCTGTGATGATGCCTTCATAAAGGCAGAAGCTGAATCAATGTGTCGTACGTGCTGAATCATATCTGAACATTCCCGAAAATGATGAGCTATCGACCAACACCTACAGCAATTAGTCATCAATTATTCTTAAATCCAAAGGAAATGAAGGCATGGAAGCTGAAATTGGCATGTGTATTGTGTATTGTGTATTGTTAGTGCACAGCTGGATGTTTCAGAATGTGGAAGCGTGAAACTGATTTCACTGTTTGCCCACGTGTGTCTCCTCCAGTGGGCGTCAGTGTCAGTGTTTTGGAGAAGAGGGCCGTTTGCTGCCCAGAACAGAGGCTTAGTGACCCAGACTGAGATTAACCCTTTCAGGCTATGACTACAGGTCATATATTATCATTTTGGGTCGGAGTTTAACCCTGAAAGGCCTGACGTATGAAACAATATTCTGAAAAATCTAATATTTTGAGATGGAACCGTTTATTAGACAAAATATTGTTGAGGACCATATTAGATCCATCTGGCTTTTATGGCTCATATAGTCTGATATAGTGAGAATATAAAGGAAAAACAGAATAAAATATGCAGCTTGGTGCAGATGCTGATATTTATATGATGAAATTCTGCTGCTTGTGATGTAAACCAATGAGATCTTTATAACAGTAGAGCAGATACAGACATAAAATGATCGTCGATCTCCAGTAATCTGTCTCAGTAAAAGGAGATTGAAATGATCCAAAAATATAATGCAGTGATTGAGAGCTGAAGAAATAAAAGCTCCTCAGAAGATCCCGAGGATCAGATTTGAGACTCTAAAAAATGATTTTATGGAGAATCAAGTAAAGCTGAGCTGCTTCAGTCCAGTAAGTGTTCATCTAGAAATATTACTGCAGTTATTCTGACGCTTACTTGATAAAAATCAGTCCAGATTTGACAGCAGTGAAGCTCCAGCTGAAGCTGGACGTTTCTACAATTACACTAAAAGAGCTTTGACTTGTTAAAAATGTATGAACTGTCGATCAGACGACTGAAGGCGTGGAGTAGATTGTGTGAAACAGCAACGTTTTGGTCATGTTGATCATTTAGAGACATTAGAAATGAATAGGGTTAAAAGAATAGTTCAAATAGTGTTCGACAGAAGAAGGAGAATTAAGGAACTCAAGGCCATTTGAATCATTATTGTGATTCACTGATCTAGTTTCAGTTCAGCAGCACGTGTGTTTTCCCTCACAGACAGACAGACAGACTCCCCCAACACAAGTGTAAAAATGTATGAACTGTCGATCAGACGACTGAAGGCGTGGAGTAGATGGTGTGCAACAGCAACGTTTTGGTCATGTTGATCATTTAGAGACATTAGAAATGAATAGGGTTAAAAGAATAGTACAAATAGTGTTCGACAGAAGAAGGAGAATTAAGGAACTCAAGGCCATTTGAATCATTATTGTGATTCACTGATCTAGTTTCAGTTCAGCAGCACGTGTGTTTTCCCTCACAGACAGACGGACAGACTCCCCCAACACAAGCATGTCTGTTCCTGCAGCCAATCCGAGCACACCGGCCTCTATATAGGGAGTGTTGAAGCCATCAGTGGGATGCAGAACGACACACAACAGACCTGATCTGATCTGATCGGACATCCAGGTGAGTTGGGCTCTTACTGCTGAGTAAAGACTTAATGCATGTCTGTGAATGGCTTTAAAATTCATCTACATGCACAATATTCATAGCGACAATGATCTGTGCCCTGCAAACACTGTGAATGCATGCAGAGAGATGATATGAGGTCAAGCAGTGACGGTACTGTCCTGCAGCATGCAACTGTTTCCTAAAGTTTCCTAATTCTTAAGAATTTTTATTTTATTGTTTTATTTAAAAAAAATGTGGAAACCCTATTTGAAGACATCCAAAGAAACTGGATAGTTGGATAGCTTCAGATCACTTGCTCTTGGAATTGTTTGTTTATATTGAGACCGCTGACTTTGTAGATGTTTGGCGTCTTGACAAATCTGTAAGCTCAGTTTGAGATCTCTTCTGAAACTCTCGAGGAGATGCACGAGAGACTATGAAGTCTTTTTCTCAGGAGAAACATCTCAGATCTCAGTCTCACTGCTGTCTAGGAAAAATATGATAAACATCTCATCTGTGATATTTCTGTTCCTGTGGGTGTGGATCTCAGAGGTTTAATCTCCACTCCGGGCCTGTTCGGTCTGATCCTGGTCTGATTCCAGGAAAAGTCATGTTTGTTTAGAGTCATATCTGGATTCTCATTTCTAAAGTCTTGCCTTTAGTGTGCTTTCCTGCTGAGCTGGGCTCAATGTGACACACTCCATTTTCAAACTACTCAGATTACTGGTTAAACTATTTATTTATTGAAGTTTTGTGAGAAGTTCTCATTTAGGGTAATGAGTGTGCAATGTTTCAACACATATAGATGTGTTTTGGAAAGACTGGACAAATTTTGTTAGCTTTAGGGGTCATATTGACCCCCATTGGTTTCAATGCAATTTGCCAAAATTAGAGTCAGGTTTATATATAAAAAAAAAACATGTCAAAGACTAAAATATGAAAAACATGAGACACAAAGTTTACTCGAAATTGAGACTCCTCTTCTGAATCATCCAGTGAAAATTCACTGTTTCTTTATCTAGTTGAATTTCACAATCAAAAAAACCTGTCAAAGTTGTTTTTAGTTGTTGGGTTTTTAACTGAAAAGAAGTGTGAGAAACCCGTTTTATCCTCACAAGGGTTTGAGAAAAATACAACAAAAAGATAGAGAAAATACAAATAGCTGTAGATACTTATACACTAATTACAAATAATTTCATATACTGTTCATACTTACAGTTATTTGCACCTCAGTCACTAACTAGAAAAATATTTTGTGTCTGTGCAGCTAATTGTGAACATAAATATATGTGGGATAAATTGACCCGGAACACAGTAGAAATAGCACTATAAAAACAAGGGAATTGTTAAATTTCTCATATATTTTTAGTCTCTATCAAGCTACAATAGAGGTTTTCTGTTCTCACGCAAATCTTTAGTGTGTTTCATTGTGCTGGTTTTTGGCAAATGGCATGGAAACGAAAAGTGGTTCAATTTAACCCTCAACACAGAAGTTGACCCAGTTCAAGTCGTGGGTTAATCAAATGCACTTGTTACAGGTTTCAGCGTCCAAAGAAGAAGCAGAAATGGCTGGATTTTGCCTGCTGAGTTTGATTCTAGCTGTAGCGGCTCTCACCGTTTGTGTAAGTGTGCTTCATACTTAACTCGCTTCCTTTTGGAGAATGGTTTTAATTCTAGCAGAAAATGTTTTTTTTTACTTTTTTTGTTTTGACCTCCAGAGAGCCCATCGCCGACTCTCTCCCAGCGGTTTACGTGAGAAATCAGGTACATAAACGTCGTCTGCAGTCTTTATTTTCCAGCAGATTATTTGCAAATTGTCCAAATTACATGACAAAAATCGTGGTTAGTAACGTAATCCAAACCCAACGTAATCAAAATAGAACACCTACTAAAAAAAAAGTTTTATTATTTGTTTACCTGCATGTCATGTGACCATTAACCAATGTCAGAGAACCGTGAACATGCAAATTATGATTGAATTATGAATTATTTATTGCTATTGTGTGAAAAACATGTAATCATGTATTCAATAAAAAAGTAACTGATGTAATATAATCTAATTAAGTACTTCATTTTTGGAATCCGTGTAATCCAGATCACATGTAATCAGTTTTCCAGATATCATGTTTATTATGATTGTTTCCTCTGCTCTGGATGTGCTCCTGCAGCTGTTCTGTGTCTGAATGGAGGGACGTCCGTCTTGTCTCCGTCGGGGCGTCACATGCTCTGTTTCTGTGCTGATGGCTTCAGCGGCTCCAACTGTGAAACAGGTGCGTATCACTCACGTGTGTTTATTATCATTAACTGATGTTTGCATGCATTCATATTCATTTACGATGTTTTGTGGCAGATGAATCCGTCTCCTGCTTTGACGGGATCGGTCTGCACTACAGAGGTCCCGTGTCCAAATCAGCGAGTGGGCGGAAATGTCTGGAATGGGATTCAGAGAGTGTGCGTGAAATTGGAGTCTATCCCAAGAATCTTGGCCCGGGACGACACAACCACTGCAGGCGAGTTACACTGAGTGAAGAGCCACGACTGACTGAAAATACTGTGAGAACAAACAGACGCTGCAGAGCCTAAAGTCCAGACTTGCCCGGTAATCTGTTACTAGGAGTTCCCTAGAGACCATAGATAAGTTGAAAAGCTGAAAAATACAAAATCAACATGCATTTGTCCTGAAGGGATGGGTATGAATAGAACAAGAAAACTGGTGTAATGTTATGGAGCTCAGTTTATGAGCGAATCTCACGAAAGATGTCAAGAACATGAGTTGGGCATAATTCACCCTGAAGTTAAAAGAAATCATTGATATTACATTTAATTAAAAAATAAACAAATTATTAAAAAACAAATAAAATATTTTATATTTTAAATTCAACTTCAATTTGAGATTTTTGCATAAAATTAAGCTTTTGGAATAATAATGAATAACATTACTGTATAAATAATTTTTTTAAGTTAATTTTATATAATTTAAAATTATTTTTATTTTATTTTATTTGATCAAGTTTTGCATAAACAATTAAGCTTTTTGGATGATTAAGATTTTTTTGCATTGTTAGTATTTTAATGACAGTTAAGCACATTTACCGCAATAACATTTATTTATATTTTACTGTAGTAAATCAATACCGTTATACAGTTATTAATTATTTTAATTTTATTCAATTTATCAAAGTTTTTAAAGTTTTTAATAACATTTTTGGATTATTAGCTATGTAAATCAATGCTTTTTAAATCAATATAAAAGTAAAATTTTCATTAAATTCAACATTAATTAAAAATATCAGCATGATGGACATATACATTAGTTTATATATTACAGTATGAGATTGTATATAATTTTTTTCATTCTGGTGTAAAAAAAATGACCCAGACATGTTCTGGACAGGATTTGTGACATTCCCTCTTATTCTCAAGCCCAGACGTGAACATCTCCTGCAAACATCTTCACAAACACACCTTGCACTGTCTGAGCCTGTGCTGCTGAATCCTGAGTCATTCAGGAGCTGCTTAGGCCTAATGCCATTTCTCTGCGTTGTTCGTTTCTCTTATCATGTCAGCTACATCCATCATAACTCGCATACATGTTCCAACACCAACAGAAACCCAGACTACAGCCGCAGAGCCTGGTGTTACGTTCGGACCGCGTCTAGGATCGTGAAAGAGGACTGCGATATTCCACGCTGTGCAAAAGATCACGGTACCATTCCGTCCTTTTCACTGTGTTAATGTAATATTACTAAATATCTGTAAATATCTGACATATGAAATGGTTTGATGCAGGTTCTGACAGTCTGACGGGCGCACAGTCCGGTGAGATCATTTGATGTTCATCATTGTAAACGCAGGGGTGCCCAAACTCGGTCCTGGAGGGCCAGTGTCCTGAAGAGTTTAGCTCCAACCCCAATTA